AATTATAGTCTCGCCGCATTTGCTTCTTGTGGGAAACTTATTGAATGCGACGCATGAGTACTAAGTGAGCTTCATTTTCATTACAATAATTTCATATTAACTGTTGTTTGTACTTATCACGAAGTCACTTATAGTCAATATGTGAAATATGTTTGAAATGAAGCCACATTATTCATAACTTGAGGATATAAAGATCCAACATTATTTCTTGGGGGAGGATAGTGTTAAAAAAAGTCTATGATGCAAATTCTAAATATCAGTGATTTCACTACACAACCGACATGATGATTGTATACAATTCTAGGAATCAGGTGAGTTTGTCCCGATTTCAGTTGTTAATTCTAATACGAACGAATACATTATAGATAATAGAGTCTATATCCAATACACTGTTGAACAGACGTAAGGTGAAATTACGAACAAGACGTACAATCGATAACTGACACTTACACTCCAATTTAAGCTGTGGCGGGTGTGGTGTTTATATGAACCAATTACTTCTTTGTAATGATGACTATTTTGATTTTGAATTCCAAATACAGTGCATTCGTTCGTGCTCATCTAATACTTCTTGATTGAAGTACGTTATTACTGGGATTACTAGTTTATACTATAATTCAAATACTCTTATATATCACATTAATTCAAATCATTGATGCATAATCGATCATCTAATCATTGGAGAAGTAAACATGAAAGTAGTTCGGACGCTCCGCATTAAGTATTCAAAATTTTTTTCATATTAGAAATACCTTTATATCATGAATCTTGATCAAGTACCATTCAAACGAGTCATTCCTGAGTTAACTAAGCACTAATCAATCCTATTCAAACCATATTAAACATCTTGTACGCAATTTAAGTCTGACCTACGACTTATTGTCCTGTTGTGAGAAGTCTCACAAAACGAAAAGCTCAACATCATGAACTTGTTTACTCATATTAATTTTTATTGCAAATCCATTGATGAAGTAGTGAAACTTCATCAGTTGAGATGGCTGGGACACGTATTACGTATGCCCAACCACCGACTGCCCCGACGTGCAATGTTTCATGGTGTAGGAGTAGGTTGGAATAAAGCTAGGGGTGGCCAGACTAAAATGTGGCACAAATCCACGGAGTCACTGAAAAGTGGACTGGGCCATGCTGGTAGGCGTAGGCCACCTGGTTGGGATTCGCGAGATGATAGCAATCGATGGTTAGAGACCTTGAATGACATGGCTCAAAATCATGTTCTGCTAAATTCTAATCTTGAGTTCTTCATGTACCTTTTTTACTCTTTCCAAATTTATTATACTGGATTATACTCCTTAAATAACATCTTCAAACCCTAATCTTTTGGATTTCTGATTATACTCCTACTACTTCTACTACTATAGAATTTGAATCGACAACTGCATCTCTGTGCTAATGTGGTATGGCAACTCGAACTGATGTATGTACGTACGAAGTTCTACGTTGTAACTGACTGATTGACTTAATAGTAATAAGCAGTCTAAGGATATATCCTTTCATTTTTGCTTTCCTCGCGTGTTGCGATCAGTATTTCTACCATAGTAAGGATAAATTTATTTCACCATCGTATAACCCTTCTCCAACTTCTGTTTTTATTATTTGGCTTATTATACATAGGACTTCACTCTCCTTCCCAATATTCGAGTTTTCTTGTGAGTGCCACTTTTTCGAAATTTCTATTCTGAACAGTTAGTCAATTTTCTAAATGTCCTGGACAACTTACTACGTCAATTGGTGATATTTCTACTTTACATAACCCTATGCCAATTTCAGATATACATCCGGTACCATAATCCTACTTTTATTTACTTAGTTTAAGAGAAATGACCATTACGGTTTACATGATTATTGATTAAAATGTGGAATTTATAATCAGTTAAGGGCTGTGGCTCGAGACTGGTAGGTCCTGGGTTCGAATCTCGCGAGTGCGGGACCGTGGATGCGCACTGCTGGGGAGTCCCACAGTAGGACGAAACGGCCATCCAGTGCTTCCAGGTTTTCTATGGTGGTCTAGCTTCAATTGACTCGTGATTTCAACTTTGAAAAATGTGGAATTTATATTAAAATTTAGAGAAAGATAATTTTTTGAAAATGAATATAAGTAAAACACTGCAGTCGATTTGAACTAAGTATCAGTTATAAGTAAAGTAACACTAGAACAAATGTGACTTTATCCGAGAAGGTATATCATATCAGAACAATGAGATGAAATTAACAAGGATCGAATCGAATTAGTAATGAGCCCCCAAAGGCTCTGGTACGGCCGAGAGTGAAGAGAGTACGCTCTCCCTCTCCAAATGCTCTCACACGGCCACGAGTATATAGCCTCTACCAGGAAAGTCCTAGTCACTGCCTTCTCGCGCCACGACTGTTGTTTACGAAATTGAAAGGACGAAAAGCGAATGTCCGGCGCTTTGACCGGGTTGGTGAACACGGAAAGTCCACTTAGAGGAGTTGGAAAACCCCGACTCCAAACCAATGGTGCACATAGGCTACAGTAACCTGAAGGAACAAATGGTGTATGAACCAATCGTTGGTCACTGGCTACCATGGGACTACATCTCCTTGCGATGCTCCACTGCATTGTGGATCAGACATTTAAGTCAAAGGTTCCGGGTGTGATCCCCTAAGAAATATACCTGCTTCAGTTTGGGCAACTGGGCAGTATCACATCCCTCACACAAATCTCATTTGATTTGTGCGGCGCATATGTATCTGGTGCCCCTTTGTACCAATATTTATGTGTTTAAATAAATAAAATAATGTTTATGATGAAAAGCTTTATAAATCTCTTCATTTACTGGAATCATTGTCTTTCATTTGTTCACTTTCATCATTCTTACAAACCTACAACCAAATAACAGGACTGATTGTCGAGATGGAAGATAGACGTATGAATCGTTTCAATTAAAGTAATCTAAGCATAAAATGTAAAAATTAGGATTCAATAATTCCAACGATTGAAATTTAGATCATTCCAGAGTTTCATTTAGCTAACTGTTTCGAAATTCTTCAAAGGAAACATGATTTATGTTAGACCACCACTGAAAACCTGGAAGCACTGGATAGCCGTTTCGTCCTATTGTGGGACTCCTCAGCAGTGCCCATTCACGATTCTGCTCGCGGGATTCAAACCCTAACCCAGGTTAGGCATTAACAATGTTGGATGCCGGTTCACTGGTCTAGTAGGTTAAGCGTTCGCGAGCAGGATCGTGGATGCGTACTGTTGTGGAGTGTTACAATAAGACGAAACGACTGTCCAGTACTCCCATGCTTTCAATGGTGGTCTAACATTATTCGGCCCATGATCTCGACCGATAACTTAACTAGAGAATTCTTAGATGCTTGACACTCAGGTCAATCAGCAATCGACAAACACATTGAAATCTATCCAATTTATCAGTTAATCAGAAAAATTATGGATAAATATAGAGTCAAGAATCAAATCAATGGGAGATACAATCACAATAAAGAAGTAAACAATGACAGATTAAAAGTCAACAATAACCAATCAAGATCGAGGTCTACAGAACAAGCTGAGGGTCATATGCGGAAAAATTCAAACACTTCACTTCTACCTGAAGTTTGTCGAGATGACATTGTTCAGAAAAACAATGAAAGCTCCACAACCAAACCATCAAGCTTAGAGAATAAAACTCCACCAGTGGAGCTAATCCATGTCAGGTAGAGACAGGTATCTACCTCAGTACAATGGAAGATGGTCGCGCAATTTCGTGGATTAATTGAGGTTAAACATTAACACTGTTGGATGCCGGCTCAGTGGTCTAGAGGTTAAGTGCTCTGGCCCAAGACTGGTAGGTCCTGGGTTCGAATATCGCGAGGCAGGATCGTGGACGCGCACTGCCACTGAGGAGTCCCACAGTAGGACGAAACGGCCGTCCAGTGCTTCCAGGTTTTCCATGATGGTCTAGCTTCAAATGACTCATGATCCCAACTATATAAAATCGTTCGCTTGAACTAAAAATCTTTTCCTTCATCTCAATATTATTGTTTATATATGTATTCTTTGATAATGTTGGTTTTGATAATTTCCCCTTTGAAGAAGTTAAGACCTGTTTTGTTAAATGAAAACATTAGAATTGTTTAAATTGCAATCATTCAAATTATCTTCGGTCAGTCAGTCAGCTACAACGTAGGACCAGGCACACATACGTATCGGTCCAAGTTTCCACACCTCGTTAGCACAACAAGATGAACACAGGAATCATAGAAGTGGTTAATTTAGTGGTGGTGGTGGTGGTAATATATAAAAGATAGGTTATATATAAAGATATAGTATAGGAAAGAAGAACGTTATGAAGCAATTTTAATCTCAAGGTTTAAGGGAAGATAAAGAGTGTATACACCTACGCCATTGTGGTCGATTCTGAGCCATGTCACCTAGAGTCTCCAACCATTGTCTATGATAGTCACGTGGACCTCAACCAATTAGTCTGCATTTATCAACATGGCTTAGACTAGAAGTTAGTGACTTCAAGCACTGATGTCACGTTTTGGTTTGGCCGCTCCTAACTCTCTTCTAACCATTTACTATCTTTCAGGTATTCAATATTCAATTTCTCTTCAAATCTTGTCGAATCCTGATTTCATATAAATTACTTAAATCATAAATCACTTGATTTATTAAAATACCACCATTTTGTTTTCTACAATAATTAAAAAAATAATGATGGGGGGAAGGGTGGGTGGACGTAAAATTTAATTTAATCACAGCTACAAGCTTTACTCATTTAAAAACAAAAAAAATGTATATGGATACTATACAGAATTACATTGACTAGAAAAGTGAAGAACAAATGACAATGTGACCTAAGCGCAAGATGGTTGTTTGTTTGGTTGGTTAGTTGTTTTTATACAGATTATTTATGTATAAATATAAATTCATTAAACTCAGTCAGTCAGCTACAACGTAGGATCAGGCACATTTATGCATCGGTCCAAGTTGCCATACCTTGTTAGCACAATTAGCTTTTTAATTTTGGTAAATGAATTTTTTGAACATGACTTCGTAGAAATGGACGCCAACCACGTATGGTTTGTTGATTTTGACTAAGATAACGTTGACATTCATACCAATTATGAAAAGAATTGGATTCAGTAGCACCAATTAAATTTGCACCATGTACAGCCATAATACATCCGGTTAACTAGTGAAGAGAAAATTTATTAATGGTAAGACAATATATATAATGTTCATGATAGTAATAATACTATTTTTCTTAAATTATAGTGCCAATTCACTAGTACTCAAGAGGTTTAATTTACAAGGTAGTGGAGCAAAGCCAGGAGATGCAGTCTTATGGCAGCCGGTGACCAACGATTGATCCATACGCCATTTGTTCCCTCAGGATACTGGAGCCCCTGTGCACCATTGGTTTGGAATCACGGTTTTCCAGCTCCCCTAAATGGATTTTCCTTGTCCACCAACAACCCGGTTATAGCGCCGGATATTCACTTTTCGTCCTCTCACTTTCGTGAACAACACCCCCCGCCACGAGAAGGCAGTGAGTAGGACTTCCATAGCAGAGACTATATACTCGTGGCCATGTGAGAGCGTTTGGAGAGGGAGAGCGGACTCTCCCCACTCTCGGCCATATCAGGGCATTTGGGGGCCAGTTCACTAGTACTCAAGAGGTGAAGGTTAAATCCCGACTGTTGCTGCTACCTTGACGTGGTGGTCGGGCTTGCCTATCGTGATGATCGAATTGGGCTATGCTGGCTGGAACAATCGTTCCTCAAGGTCTTACCATGCCACACAGGTCGGTTGAAGAGCGGTGAGACTAAAAGCAGCAATCCCAAGGTCCGAAAGCGAAGTCGTACTGATGACTATACAGAGGTGTGACGGCAGTAAGGTGTTTCCTTCAGACAACCAGCATGACAGCGATGCTGCCTTCCCACAAGGAGGGGTGGGTTAGAAAAAGACAACCCTAATGATACACATCCCACCTTATCTTACGGATATTTGTCTCCGGTGGTAAGGTTCCAATAAGCACAGAGCTAACACAAAAATTACCCACAAAAGGGTCGTGTGTGACCGACCTCAAGCAGTTGTCCCTTGGGCATTGCGGTCACGCTCTCAGGTCATTAAGATCACTTCTAACCCAATTTCCTTTTCAGGTACCCCTAGAAGAACCCTTCCACAGTGTGGGCAACCGGGAAGTGAAAACTGCCCTCATACCCATAACTGCACACGAGACCAAGTTGGTCACTTTCAAATCCTTCCTACACCTAATAACACTCTTATCTCCACGACTAACCCTTCCCACGTCCTTTTATCACCTCGCACCACTAGGGCAAACGATTCGAGTACATGGAACGTTATTCTTGGTCTCCTGAAACCACGCTCTAAACTACATGTAGGAACTTTTAATGTCCGAACATTGTGCCAAATAGGACAACAGGCTTCCTTAGCTAGGACTTTAGAATTTTACACCATCGATGTGTGCTGCGTCTCCGAAACGCGCATACAAGATCCGAGTAGTGTCATTCATTTGACCTTATTTAATCAAAATAAAGATTCATCTCGATACACGCTCCGTGTATCTAGAAGCCCTGACGCTGCTTCCCGTGGCCTCGCTGGAGTAGGTATAGCATTAAGTCCTAGGGCAGAACTAGCTCTTTTAGACTGGATCCCAGTAGACAGTCGTCTATGCGCTGTCCGACTAAACGGATCAGTAAGGACCCGGAAAGATAGGGAAACTCGTCGTTGCCTCTTCGTCGTCTCTGCCTACTCTCCCACTGACTGCAGCTCAGACGATATAAAAGATGAGTTCTACAGGAAACTTTCTGACCTTCTCCGAGAAGCTAGGCGTTCTGATGTAGTAATAGTAGCAGGTGACTTTAATGCTCAAGTAGGTAACCTAAGTGAAAGGGAAAGACACCTGGGTGGATCTTATGGTGTCATGGCGAAAAGAACAGATAATGGCGACCGTCTATTGCAGTTACGCTCAGATAACCGCCTATTTCTTGCAAATACTAACTTTAAGCATAAGGAAAAACATCACCGAATTCGTCCCAATGTTGGACACAATTAGATCACATCGCTATCAGCCACCGATGGAGGGGCTCGATAGAAGACTGTCGCTCATTCTGGAGCACATGTTTAAATTCAGATCATGCTCTAGTGCGAGCACGTATCTGTCTGCGTCTTACTGGACGTAGGAAAGACACTGCAGGGAAACCTCTAAGGGTTCTACTTAATGATAGGCCAGCTAAGAATATATTTCAAGAACAACTAGGAAAACAGTTAGGCAGCCATGTAAGTTATGCCCACCCCGAGGCAGAGTGGAATGAAATCCGAAAAGCTGTGGAATCAGCAGTGATATCCGCTAGTAAGGTAAACCATAACGTTAGGGAGAAACAATGGATCTCGGCAGCATCTACCGCACTGATAGATGCTCGAAAACTCATCCCACCTGGCTCTGAACATAACTAAGAGCGGAGTCAACTTAAGCGCCGGCTAATAAGAAGCCTACGTAATGATCGTGAACATTGGTGGGTAGCGAAAGCAAGAGAGATGGAAAAGGCAGCGGCAATAGGTAACAGTAGGCAGCTATTCAGACTCGTTAAAGAAACCGGTATTAGGAACCCGAATATCAGTGAAACCATCTCAGATAAAGATGGGCATATCATTCATTCTCAATCCAGGAGATTGGTTCGATGGGTAGAACACTTTAGGGATCAGTTCAACTGGCCTTCAGCCACACTTCAATTACCCACGATCCCCAGTCGTCCTGAATGGCAAATCGAGGTAAGTCCTCCAACCCTCTGTGAGGTTGAAAAAGCTATAGGAAATCTGAAGCGAGGGAGAGCAGCAGGCCCTGACAGGTTGACCCCTGAGATTTTTAAGGATGGTGGTCAAGTACTAGCAGTGAGATTGACTGAGGTCTTAGGTAGAATCTGGGAACTGGACGTAATTCCATCTGACTGGTTCCAATCGCTGATTGTGCCAGTCTATAAGAAAGGACAAAAGTCCTCCTGTGACAATCACAGAGGGATCAGTTTGACTAATATAGTGTCTACAATATTAGCTTCAATAATACAAGGTCGCCTAACCAAAGCTCGTGAAGAGCAGACTAAAGAAAACCAGGTTGGTTTTCGACTTGAACGTGGTTGCATAGACCAGATATTCACCCTACGTCAGGTCCTAGAACATAGACATACATTCAGACGTCCCACAATAGTAGTATTTCTTGACCTTACGGCGGCATTTGACTCCGTTGATCGTGAGGTTCTATGGCAGTGTTTGTCACTGAAAGGAGTACCAAAGAAGTACATTAACCTCATAAAGGCTCTCTGCTCGAACACTACTGGTCAAGTTAGAGCCTATGGCGAACTGTCATCAGAACTGATTACCTCAAGTGGTGTTCGTCAGGGCTGTCCACTCTCCCCATTCTTGTTTAACTTTGTCATTGATATACTTTTGAAGATAGCACTTTCATCAGCTAAACCTCCAAGAGTTGAACTTTTAGCGGGAGGCTCACTTATTGACTTAGAATACACCGACGACATAGTTTTACTTGGTGAGGACGCTGGCAACATGCAGAGTCTTCTGACCACTATAAGAAACTATACAGGCATGTTCCGAATGCGATTCTCTCCCTCGAAGTGCAAAATGTTACTTCAGAATTGGGTTGCATCGACACCTGAACTAATGATAGGGAGTGAAGTAGTTGAGCGTGTAGACCACTTCACTTATCTTGGGAGTCTCATCAGCCCTTGTGGTCTGGTGTGTGACGAAATCTCAGCACGGATACAGAAGGCACGTCTAGCTTTCGCCAACTTGCGTCATTTATGGCGTAGGCGAGATATCCGTCTAGCAACCAAAGGACGTGTTTACTGTGCAGCAGTTCGCTCCGTCCTACTTTATGGTAGTGAAACATGGCCGATAAGAGTAGAGGACATTCATAGGCTACTAGTTTTTGATCACAGGTGTCTTCGAAGCATTGCTCGTATATCCTGGGACCATCGGGTAAGTAATGCAGTTGTTAGGAAACGAGTACTAGGTAAGGATAGCAAATCGATTGATGAAGTAGTGAAACTTTATCAGTTGAGATGGCTGGGACATGTGTTACGTATGCCCAACCACCGACTGCCCCGACGTGCAATGTTTCATGGCATATGAGTAGGTTGGAAGAAAGCTAGGGGCGGCCAGAACAAAACGTGGCACAAATCCATGAAGTCACTGACAACTGGACTGAGCCATGTTGGTAGGTGTAGACTACCTGGTTGGGATTCGCCAGATGATAGCAACCGATGGTTAAAGACCTTGAATGACATGGCTCAAAATCGTTTGCAATGGCGAAGGTGCATCCACTCTTTGTGTAATACCAAATCCTAATCTTCTGAATTCTTCGTGTCTCTACCTTTTTCTCTTTCCAAATTTATTTCACTGTACTATACTCCTTCAATAATTTCTTCAAACCCTAATCTTTTGGATTTCTGATTATACTCCTACTACTTCTACCACTATGGGATTTGAATCGACAACTGCATTTCTGTGCTAATATGGTATGGCAACTCGAACCGATGTACATACGTACGAAGTTCTACGTTGTGACTGACTGAAGGTTAAATCATGTAGTCTGTTTCATAACTATGAGAATTGAGATTAGAAAAATTAAAGTTAAACAATCATATTACTTTCAAAATACTTCTCATTTGTGACAATACAAATGTTCCATATCTATTTCTATTGTTCAAAACCGTGGAAAGGTTCTTCTAGAAGTACCTGAAAATGAAATTGGATTAGAAGTGGTCTTAATGACCTGAGAGCGTGACCGCAGTGCCCAAGGGACAGTTGCTTGAGATCAGTCACATACGACCCTTTTGTGGGTAATTTTTGTGTTAGCTCTGTGCTTATTGGGACCTTACCACCGGAGACGGATATCCATGGGATAAGGCGAGGTGTGCATTTTTAGGGTCGACCTTTTCCAACCCCACCCCTCCTTGTGGGAAGGCAGCATCGCTGTCATGCTGGTTGTCTGAAGGAAACACCTTACTGCCGTCACACCTCTGTATAGTCATCAGTACGACTTCGCTTTCGGACCTTGAGTTTGCTGCTTCTAGCCTTACCGCTTTTCAGCCGACCTGTCTGGCATGGTAAGACCTTGAGGGACGATTTTTTCAACCAGTATAGCTCGATTGGTTCATCACGATAGGCAAGCCCGACCACCACGTCAAGGTAGCAGCAACGATCAGGAAATTTATTGTAGCGGCTATTCAATCTTAAAATAGGTAACCTAAAAGTCAAACTAAATAACACAACATCAGTTATGAGCGATATTTTGCTCTTTAAGCGAGGTGGTTTAATTGAAAACTTTCACTGTCGCTATGCCAAACATCACACAAGCTAACATACAAAGTAGAGGCTGGTAATTTTGTTCAGAACTATAACTATCTAGGCCAAAGAACACAACTCTAACTGAAAGTATCCATTTAAGCTGCACATCTTCTACATCATTTCAAAACAATTGCCAACTAATCAATGCAACGGTAAAAATTGAAGTCTTTTGAGGTGATCTCACTTTTACAATGACTGAAACATAACTTCAACAATCAGTTGAGTATGAATAACTAACAGTTAATTGATTATATTAGTTGAAAGCGTGAGTCAATTGAAGCTAGACCACCATGGAAAGTCTGGAGGCACTAGACAGTCGTCTCGTCCTGTCGTGAGACTCCTCAGTAGCAGTGCGCATCCACGATCCTGCACTCGCGAGATTCGAACCCAGGACCTACCAGTCTCGTGCCAGAGCACTTAACCAATAGACTACTGAGGAGTCCCACAATAGGACGAAACAACCGTCCAGTGCTTCCAGGTTTTCCCTCGTTGTTTAGCTTCAATTGACTCACGCTTTCAATTATGAAAATACTAAATCTCTACGAAAAACCCCTTCTGATTATATTAGTGACTTAAAATTCTTAGATTATTTTTTGAGTAATAATCCTGACTTTAAAAAACCGCCTATCAACCAGTCAAATAAAAAAATAAGGAAATCACAATTGATTGATCACTGGGTGGTGATCAATGTCATACGTGTCAAGTCCTTCTTAGTGCTGATCGAATGCTACCGATCAACTTGCAATGTGACCACTAGTCTAGGTGGCTCGACACTGCGTTCACTACGTTGAGATAAGATGGTGATTAGAGGTGATCAACAGGAAATCCTACATCCGGGTTTAGTGCTACTTAGCACTCGTCAGCAAGGTGTACCTGTAATCTTGAGGGAACTGATGCTTTCTGACGGATTTGATCCCGTGTCACTTAGCTTCACAGTCAGAGACGTTACCACCGAGCTATTCGGGCCGCGACCGACCTCCTGTAGGACTGAGATGTAATCACAATTGATTGATCACTGGGTGGTGATCAATGTCATGCGTGTCAAGTCCTTCTTAGTGCTGGTCGAATAAGGAAACGTCTAATTTACAATTCACACTTTCTTTTTAACGAATTCCTCGACTTCACATTACTATTACTACCCATCACATGAAACTTACTTCAAATGGATAAGTATAATTATGTAATGTATAGTATAATAACACACGTAAGATGTTCATATTTTCAGTAGATCTTCTACCTAATCCAAATATTAATAATCTGACCAGACGACAAGAACAATAATAAGCAGATGTTAAAATAATTTCACCAATTAAACGTGGTATAAAACCCTTGAATAACAGAAGAAAACAATAAAAGAAACAAGTGAAAATGAATGTTTTATAAATAAATAAAGATAAAACATTACTATGGTATTAGCCTAATGAAGTCGTCAACAATTAGACTTAACTATGTTAATAAATATAGATGACTTGGTTGGAGTCCGTGTGATTATCGTAGCCAATGATGAGAGACTATTAAATCGCGACACAACGAATCATTGTTTACAATCAATTGAATGGAACTCGTCACTATATATTAACTTCATTGACTATGAGAAAGCATTGGACAGTGTAGATAGAAGAACATTATGGAACCTTCTTCAATACTATGGAGTACGTGAGAAAATCGTCAATATCGTATGGAATTAATACGATGGACTATAGTGCGAAGTGCTTAATGGAGGACAGCTGATGAACGCACTCTAAATGAGGACCGGTGTCAGACAAGGATGCTTACTCTCCCTCTTTCTCTTCCCTCTGGTAGTTGACTTGATTATAAAAACCTCCACATCCGAGGGGAAGAGCAGAATACAATGGGTAACTTGAATGCAACTAGATGACTTGAACCTCACAGATGACCTATCTCTTCCATCACATACACATCAACACATGCAGGTCAAGACAAACTGTGTAGCAGCAGCCTCTACAGCAGTAGGCCTCAACATACACAAAGAAAAAACCAAGATCCTCAAATAAGCACGGAGAACACCAAACCAATCACACGTGATAGAAAAACTCTGGAAGAGATGGAAACTTTCACACATCTAAGTAGCATCATCGATAAGCTGGAAGGATCTGATGCAAAAGTAAAGGCAAGGATTGGCAAAGCAAGGACCACATCCCTACAGTTGAAGAACACATGTAACTCAAAACAACTGTCAACCATTATCAAAGTTACAATCTTCAATACGAATATCAAGAGACTTCTAATGTATGGAGCTAAAACTTTGAAAACCATCACAACCATCATCGAAAATTTACAAGTATTCATGAACAATTGTCCACGCAAGGTATTTAGTGTTCGTTCACCGAATACCATTAGTAACAACCTATTGTGGGAGAGAGAAAATCAGCTTCCAACTAAAGAGGAAATTAGGAAAAGACGTTAGAGGTGGATAGGACAAACATTATGGAAATCATCAAACTGCACTACGAGGCAAGCGCCAACTTGGGATCCTGAAGGGAAAAGGAAAAGGGGAAGACCAAGAAACATACTCTGTCGGAAAGTGGAGGCAGACATCAGAAGAACGAATAGCAACTGGAAAGAATTGCCCAGGACAGAGTTGGTTGGACAATACTGGTGGGCGACCTATACTCATCTACGAAGGGTAACAGACGTAAGTGACCAAGTAAATTAGTTGATTATCGATCGCAAATAAAACTGTACATAGTACAAATATACACTGTCAATGTTGTTTGACAACATCAGCACAATAAGCTGAAATAACAACCATAGCGTACACTACGTTAAGAAACTAAACATAAAAATATGATTTACAAGGAAAGAATACAAGCGAGAAATCGAAACACGAGATATTAATAAGACTGAATTGGCATTTACTTGGTCAAAATGTTGGCTCTCATATGATACATTTAGCTTGCAGGCTAAGTATGCTTGATCGGTATACGTATAAAATTTAAATAAATCTAACAGTAGCTGAGTAGTAAATGTTTGTATACTTAGCTCTGAATTCCAGACTTTTTATTGTTATTATTTATTTAAACACATAAACATTGGTACAAGGAGGCACCAAATAGATATGCACTACATAAATCATTAGATTTATGTGAGGGCTGGGATAATGCCAAGGTGCCCAAACCGAGGCGGGTGGTTTTCTTAGGGGGCCACACCCGGAGCCTTTGACCTAAAAACCTAATCCACAAGGCAATGGAGCATCCCATGGTAGCCAGTGACCAACGACTGGTTCATACACCATTTGTTCCTTCAGGTTACTAGAGCCCATGTGCACCACTGGTTTGGAATCAGGGTTTTCCAACTCCTCTAGGTAGACTCTCTGTGTACACTACACTTTTTACGTACGAGGGTTACCCGAATCAAAGTGCAAGAAATGGGTACAAACCTGTGATCGTATATTGTCTTTTTTAAAGCCAATCATTGAAAAAGAGAATGAGACAGGAATCAATAACATGTGTCACAGGATAACAGAATAATCACCTACCTGGAAAAATCCTAAAATACCATTTTCACGGTAAACAGCCCGAACAGCCATAGGAAAAAATGTATACTGAGTTTCTTTACCAATCAAAGCTGCAATCTGTCGGACAGTAATCACTAGATTAATAAAACATAGACTATTATATGATTTCTAACATTTTAAGAGATAAGAAATTAAAGAATAAGAATCAGTAGATATTTAAAATATTTGTTTGTGTGATCTACAATCTCTATGCATTGTATTATTGCTATAGTAAGGATAATCTGCTGAAAATCTTATGCAACAGACTTACCAATCATAACAATAGGTCAAAACAGGTCTAGGAAAGGCTACATAAAAATATGATACTAGTTTACAGCATTGGTCTCAACTTTCAGGTGGAATTACGTGATATCCTCGTAATTGGTGATTATAGAACCGTAGGTGGCATAGCACCACCTGCAACACAGTCAATATGTTTATCTGCCTATCCAAGGACGAGTACATGGCTCAATAGCTAACTCTCTATTAAACTAGAAACGGAAATTATGTACGATATTGGTCAATCTTGGTCGGGAGGCTTCTAGTTTTATCTTGACACCATCTACCATTGTGCGTCGAGGTAGGTGGAACGGTATAAATAACATGTGTTTCAGTCACCTCGATTGAAGATTCACTACTTCATAAATCGATTCACCATCTCTACCTAGTAGCCTACTTTTGACCTCGACATCGCTTACTTAGTGATCTAGAAATATACGAGAAATGCTTCACAAGCATCTATGATCAAAAACTAATGATCCACGAATATCCTCCATTTTTCTAAATCCACATTTCACGACCATAAAATAAAATAGATAGGACTACTGTGAAGTATACTCGCTCCTTTGTTGGTAGGAAAGCATTACATTTGGATCATATGTGACTTAAGTTAGTGAAAGCCAGGTGAAGTTTCTAGATCAATGCTGAGATTTCTCCAGACACCAACTCACCAGGCTTTATGAAACTTACAAAATAAGTAAAGTGTTCATAATATATTTAGTTTCTCAAAATACTTTTGTCCAAAACTCCCATGTCCTTAAAATAGTCAATGGGATAAAAAAAATATCTATCAAAAAAAGGATAAGTACGAATTCAAACTAAAAAAATACCATTCTTTGAACCCTAGTTAGGTCTTGATTTTTTCATTCCATGTTTTTCAACCACGTTTCCGATGTTGAATCTTTCTCATTACCATTTGTACGACTAGTACTTGGACTCCTTAGCTACCCATCTTGTTGATTTCCTTTTGTTATGCTGATGTGGTACAGGAACTTAGACCAATACATTCGTGCCAGGCTCTACGTTATGACTGATCGACAGACTTTTTGGGTTGAAAGTTCGAACTACCCGGTATGAAAATCTACTTGACCTAAGTTTTTTGAGTTGAGATTTGTCATAAAGGTGTAACTGTAATATTTTTGGAACGTGGTCACGGGAAAGCGAATAATCTCCTGTAGGACTGAGAAGTTTAAACTGGTTGGTCACAGGGTAAGTGACCAATGTCATGTTTATCTAGTCTTTAGTGATAATTAATTTCCGTCGATCGGGTTTCAATGGATTTATTATTCTACGTGACTCGACATTACGAGCATTATGTTTTGATGTCGGGTGGTCGGTAGAGAACCGTAGACCTGATTACCGTGCTAGTTAGTACTCATTAACAAGAAGTATATGAATGCAATGACTACAAGATGACACATGAATACGTATACACACATTAAGGTTGATAATGACAGTTTGTCCTACGGAAATGGGATATGCAAAAGAAATAGAAGTATACAAGATAAAATAGAACATACCATAAAATGGATGACTGACTAAGACTTCCCAAAATTTCAGTGATAGTATCTCAGTAAATCTTTCAAAGAAAACTGGAAGTCTTGACTCTTCTAAAAGTCGTTCAGCTTGAAATTCTTTATTAGTTTGTTGACTAACAGTGGGATGAATGACGATTTGTTTCTTATTGTAAAAATTATTTTCTGTTCGCATCCATATATTTGTTCTTCGTCTAAACGCAGCACGAAATATTTCCACAATAAAATCATGTGTAGCATTTGCAAACAATCCTGTTGACAACACATTCCAAACACCTATTGTTTTCATTAAATGATAGGTATACTTGAAGAAATTTGGATAAACATAAATTGGAGATGATAAACCAAATAAAGCAAGAGGTGAACTGAACTGGACTGGTGCCAATGGTTCATAGCCTAACTTGATAAGAGTCCAAGCAACACGAAAAGGATTAGCTAATTGTCTCAGAAAGTAAGCCTCAATGCCAACTACGGGTTGTTGTTCGACATAAGGTACAATTGTATATGATACATATTGTGATGAAAATTCATCAGTATCACTGTCAATCATGGAGTCTAGAAAATAGACAACAATGTAAATAATTTATATAGTATTGGTCATGAAAATGAAAACTAAGATATAAGATATGTTTACCACGTCACAATATTACACCATCAAGTGATGAAGTGAAAATAAATAAAAATAAAGAATGAACAAGTTGAAATGATGGTTAGTTATTATTAACGTACAACCCTGGATGAATGTGTTATGGATTAAGTTGGTGCACCACAAAATGAAGCATAGGAAGGGGAAAAACTTCGAAACTAACGAAAACTTAAACATGAGAAATACATTCCAAGAGAAACAAATGGAACCACAAACAAAATAGTTAAACATAATACTAAACCACAGTTTGAGAGAAATATACAAAATAAGTGCAACTGCTCCATTTTGACTGAATCACACCCAATATGGGTTGGATTATCTGGGATTATATTTGCATATAATGGAGAATTTTGGAAAACGAGTAAACCGTTTCTTTTTGTTTTATCACAGAATGCGAGATCTTATTTATTTCTTGCTTTGAATAATGAATTGGTAACTAAAATGTTGTCTTATTCTTTGAGTAATATTCATTTATGAAGGTTTGAAAGTCGAATAAATCAAATCCTGAGCATTTCTCTGTAAGATTTCAACTTAGTAAGATCCGCTTTCCTATTTATGTTTTTAAAGCGATCCGTTTACCCTGACAGCTTGGGAAGGACAAGAGGCTGGGTGGCCTGTATTGGTCTTGGCAATGGTGGAATCTCAGTTGATTCAACTTACTTTCGAATGTGTCGACAGATGGAGCCTCAATCATGTGTTGAGGTAACGAGTTCCATTTGTTGACGATTTGATGGAAAAGTTGACAGTTAGCCGACAAGTAACTTGTTCTGAGCTTGTGAAATTTTTTAGTGTCCTCATGAATTTTCTGTTTCGGAAGACAAGAAAAATGGGGACATATCAGATGCAGATCCATCACTAATTAAAAACTGTGATCAGGTCATTTTTGGCTCTTATCTACGACAAAGGAAATAGGTTTGGTTTAGTTAGTTACCGTGATGAACATGGTGGATCAGATGCAGATGTGAGGGCGAGGACCGGCAAAGTAAGAGCAGAATATTTACAACTGAAAAACATCTGGAACTCAAAACAATTGTCAACAAACACCAAGGCTAGAATTTTCAATACAAATGTCAAGACAGTCCTACTGTATGGGGCGGAACCGTGGAGAACTACGAAAGCCATCATCCAGAAGATACAAGTGTTTATTAACAGCTGTCTACGCAAGATACTTCGGATCAGATGACCAGACACTATCAGCAACAAGTTACTGTGGGAGACAACAAACCAGATTCTAGCAGAGGAAGAAATCAGGAAGAAGCGCTGGAAAAGGATCGGGCACACTTTGAGGAAATCACCCAACTGCGTCACAAGACAAGCCCTCACATGGAATCCTGAAGGCCAAAGGAGAAGAGGAAGACCAAAGAACACATTACACCGAGAAATAGAGACAGACATGAGAAGAATGAACAAAAAATGGATAGAACTAGAAAAGAAGGCCCAGGACCGAGTGAGTTGGAGAGAGCTGATCGGCGGCCTATGCTCTATTGGGAGTAACAGACGTAATTAAGTGGCATTAAGTATTTTTCGTTTGGCGATTAAAATACCATTTTAGCAGCCTGGTTTAGTCTTATTTTAAGTCCGCTTGGCTACCTAGTTTACGAATCTTCAGCAAGGTAACCTTAGATATATCTTGAGGCATCCGCTAGTTAAGTAGATCTTTTATCAACCCAATGTTATGCTCAACGAGTTTTGGGCTGGGCCTTCTCTCTATTTGACTATAAAAGATGTCTGACTTGACATTAAGATAATTTACTGATTTCTTAACTAGTGTTAACAAGACCGGTTTTTCTTGAATGACATGAGGTCGTTTTTCACCCATGACTTGTGTCCAGTCACCAGTTTCCACAGGGGTAGCTACACACACAATGAAACCTGTATGACTTGGGCGGTCACGTTTTTGTTTCTCCCGCCGAAAACAGACCTAGCCCTGTGAGTGAATCCTTCAGGAGTCTTCAAATGCTTTCACTTTGCAAACTGGGTGCAAAAGAAATCTGCTTTTTTAAGCTTTTACTGCTGACAAACCACTTTGAAGCAAGTACTTCTTCCTTTAACCCATGTAAAGTAATAGAATTTGGGCTTATTGGGGATGACAACATACCCATCTTTGTATCGACAAAGAGAGCATCGTCAGATTGCGCTTGCTAATATGCCTTTTAGCAGCGTAATACATTGCAGTGGTTTTGAAAGGCAAGCTCTTTGTATCTGATCCTTTTAAACATACTCATTCACTTTCACGAAACCATATTAATGCCGAAGAAGTTGGATTTGTATAAACTTACTGCTACCATATTTTGCACTTAACGCACTGTATGCCACATTCCAAAGGACATTTATAGACTAGATGTTGATAATTGCTTCTTTTAGATCATTTAGTTATCAGTCAGACGTTTAAAAATAGCTTACGCACTCAAACACGTAAACACAGAAGCTGAAAACCAAAAAAAGGTGAACTATGGTTCACCAGGCTTTCCTGTGATATCTGTAGAAAATTGTGAAGTATTGAGCTAGAAAGATGAATTTTATCAATAGATGTAGAGGGAGTTTGCTAGAGTAACATAAGTTTACTGGAGAAATCCATAACGTTTATGGAAAATATTGGGAGATTCCCCAAAAGTTCGGGTTTTTCCTAATATTTCCCCAGAATCCCATGATACTTTGCGGATATCCGTCTATATTTATTGATAAAACCCCACATTTTCTTTAATTGAGGGAAATCTTCCTAAAATGTATCGTTTCAATGCAATACTTCACTTAAGCGCAACACACAGGAACATAACTACTGTACTCAATTAAAGAACGTGTGCAAAACTACTTTGGAAAGGTAACGATACCTTTGGCGTTTCTTTAACTAAAAATCAGCTCAATTAAAGTGAAAACGGTGGTCTTGATGCGTGATAAACGGTCGAAATAATATATCTAACACAGTGAGGTACCACCGCACTCTTCAATAGAGCTCCCTTATTTCAGCGTTAAGATGTTCGGCACCCTCAAGGTCGTGCGGTAAATACTTCTGAAGGAATGTTCACATGGATATTGCCTTCGAATTGGCTTGTGAAGCACTGAGATGTAATGAAGTCCCAGTAGGGTGTGCTTTTGTTTATAATGGAGAAGTAATTGCATCTGGTCGCAACGAAGTAATTCATTAGTAGGAGTTTTGTGATTTCTAGGTGAATGCTACTAGAGATGCTACTCAACATGCCGAGATGGTGACAATTAGACGACTAGAACAGTGGTGTCGAAATAACCAAAAGGAACTTGACAAGATTTTGGTCGAATGTGACCTTTTCGTTACAGTAGAACCCTGCATTACGTGTACGGCTGCAGTGTGATCAGTTTCGAAGGGTTTCAAATGGTTCACTCAGTGGGCTTCTCTATCTAGTAACAGTGGAACACCGACACCTCCAGATAATAACCCGGTTAGCCCCTGCTTATAAAAGACAGTGAGCATTGGGAAAGGTTCAGAGAACAACTAAGCTTATATTCGGAATAGTGAAACTCCCGTATGATGCTCCATTGGCTTGTAGCTGTAAATAATTCCCCAAAATCAATAGCTCATTAAGTGTTCGACATTGGATGCTGACCACGTTGTTTAAGTGGACTTGTTTAGCTGAAGGCTTTCGGTCATGCATCCGCACCAGATCACGTTTCAATACTGCGTGGGACACAGCTCCTACGTTTCATTAGCCAGCTCATAGAAAAGGTCCTCGATATATTGGTAACGAATCAAATATATCTTTCCTGCCTCTTCTCGTTTGACTTCTGATTTTCTATCTGACTGGTAACAACCGAATTTAGAAGGTGCTACTGGTATCTAGTTGTAAAACTAGAATATCCGTTGCATCATCATTGGTGAACCCGACGTGATCTGGTACACCAAGTCAATATACTGTTAGTCTGTTCCATTTTGGAATATTATTATTCATTGTTATTCTTTATTTGAATTTTATATATTGTGATATACTTTTTTCACGAATTTTTTTTTCTCGGATATATTTTAATTAGACATTTTTCGATATCTATATTACTATGACGGAACACTCTCCTAAGGTTCTTAAGTTCAAGTCTATTCCCCCTATTTCGATTCAGTTAACGCCATTTTGGCCCGACAATATCGAGTCCTGGTTCTGCTATGCAGAAGCCGATTTTTGCATGCACGGAATCACGGACTCGCGCACACGTTTCCTCGCGGTAGTTAAGGCGTTACCGCGCGAGTTTAACAGGTACGTAACACCTAGTATGTTCACTAGTGATGTTTCTGAACCTTACGAATCGCTTAAGCTATCGATTTTAAAACGAGGAGATCTAACTGATCGACAACGGTTAGACCAACTCCTTAACAATATCGACTTGCAACATGGTTCTGCGACGGACATGTTGCTTAGAATGAGAGAAGTCATCGGCCAACGAACTTTCGATGATGGCCTATTTAGACAACTTTTTTTGTCTAAACTCCCTCAACAGGTGCAGGCAGTGCTTGTTTCATTTCAAAACAATGCCATAGATGAACTAGCTGCATCTGCCGATCGAATCTTGGAAATCACTAGATCTTCTAAGGCCGAGGTTTTTTCCGTCAAAGAAAAACCCCAATCGACCTCGACTGACATGGCCGAACTATGTCACACGCTCACACGATATCTTAGAGTTCGCAATGACCGTAGTCGGTTAAAATCCCCGCGTAGAAGCGTTTCACGTAAGCGATCTGGCTCTCGACCACGAGAGACAGATAATCCCGACTGGTGCTGGTATCATAACCAGTACGGTAAGTTTTCCAAAAATTGCAGGAAACCTTGCAATTATCCGACTTCAAAATCGACTGACACGAATAAGATTTCGGGAAACTTCCCAGCCGGCACGCGTTAACGGCAACCGTAGCCGGCGAACACAGCCGCCTCTTATATGTCACGGATGTGACTACGAAAGTTCGCTACCTCGTCGACACTGGCGCAGAAGTTAGCGTTCTTCCAGCAAATCTCGACGACAGACTTCGCGAGTCTGTTTTAAGTTTACAGGCGGCAAACGGAAAGCCGATCGCTACTTACGGTAAAAGGTACGTCTACCTTAACGTGGGTTTACGTAAACCCATACACTGGATTTTCGTGGTTGCAGATGTCTCTATGCCAATCATTGGTATTGACCTGTTACAACACCACAATCTACTCATCGACACACGCTCACGAAGGTTAATAGACGGAAACACTAAGTTGTCCGTTTGCGTAACTCCTTGTTCTGGTTGCAGGTTATCCCCAGTCACGATTAAGCACGCCATAGACCCCTTGTACCAAGCAGTACTCGACAAATACCCCGGGATATACCAATCGCAATCGAAATTACCTTGTGTAACCAGCAATGTTACACATCACATCTCGACTACAGGACCACCTGTATTTTCGAAAGCCCGAAGACTCGCTCCCGAAAAACTTAGGTTAGCTAAAAACGAATTCAACCACATGATGGACCTAGGAATAATTCGACCATCGAATAGTCCATGGGCATCCCCATTGCACATGGTCCCTAAAAAGGACAGCAATGATTGGCGGCCAACTGGTGATTATCGGCGTCTGAATGCTAAAACCATTCCCGATCGTTACCCGCTGCCTCATATTCACGATTTGACAGCTACCTTGAAAGGTACAACTGTCTTTTCGAAAATCGACTTGGTTAAAGCTTATAACCAAATCCCGATGGCAACTGACGACATTCCTAAAACCGCCATCATCACTCCCTTCGGTCTTTACGAATTTCTACGAATGCCTTTTGGTTTAAGAAACGCGGCTCAAACCTTCCAAAGGTTTATAGACGACGTCTTCCGAGGTCTCAACTTCGTACATGCGTATGTTGATGACTGTCTAATAGCAAGTCCGGACAGAGAATCACATCTCAAGCATCTGGACATTGTTTTCGATCGACTTCAAAGGCATGGCATTACTGTCAACATTCAGAAATGCCAAATCGGAACTAACTGCTTAGACTTCTTAGGACACACCATTGATG